AATAAAATGTTTTAAAAAGGTAATCAACAGTTTCCAAGGTCATTAAAAAAAAGACAAGGAAAGAAAAGAAAGAATCGGTCAGATCTGCATGAACATTGTATGAAAAACCGCAGATTTTTTTTCAAAACTTTGTTTCAGCTTATTCCACCTAAAACACGCTATTGTGTTTTTATGTGCCTTCGTGTGACGAAGTTGTTTTTTTTTTTTGTATATAATGTTTTACTTTTTGTTAGAACGAGGTTCCATACTGTTGAGGTTGTTTTGATACGAGTATATAAAGGGACCGGTTTTGTCAGAGTAGTCAGATCTAGTCTGGTGTCCGGTAGCGTGACCAGCCGGAGGTGTGCCACGTTTACTGTATCCCCTGCATGATTATACAAGTGGTGAATATATTTCGGTGAGATATATCACCGAATTTAACCGGTAGCAATATAACTTGTTAGGCGGACTATTGCAGCGTGTGTATGCAGTTCTAGCCGTGTTTTTGTTTGTTTTGTTTATTGTTTAATCCCTCTTTAATTTCCCTCTCGAGAATTTTTCACTCATATGGAGACGCCACCACTTGCCGGTGGAGATCTACAAATTTTGTCCTATACTCGGCACTCAGGGCCATTGAGCAGTGACGGATCTTTTTCGTGCCAGCACCTACTGGGACGCGGGACCTCGGTTTATAGGGTCTCATCCGAAGGACCGGTCTCCGCGTCCCACAATGGGATTCGAACCCGTTACGTAAGGATCAACTCCTTACTCCGCGACTCTAGAACGAACGCTCTAACCACTGCGCCACGTGGGCACAGTTCTAGCCGGTAAGAGTGTTCGAATAATGTATATAGTGGTTTGTTGCTATAAATTTCCGGTTTTCAGTTGTAATATAGGTTAGGTTTCTGCAAACGTAAATCTATTTCAGTGCGTTAGAGGCTTGGAGACAATATATAAATAAGTGGACGTGCTGAGGGTCAGTTAACGATGTTTGAGGGTTATTCACGAGCTCTGGATGAAGGGCCACGTGCGTCATGTTCAAATCTCGACGTTGTCGACGAAACTACCACGGAACTTAGTGGGACGTAGATGTAGTCATATGCATATGGCGAGTGCGCAGTTGTGTGATTTCCTGAACACGTGTGGTTGACCACAGTTTGTGAAAATGCAACTTTGAGTAACTTTCAGTGGTGTGCAATAGAAAACGTTGATATTTGAATACATATTTTATCATAAAGTGAATTCAATTGAGCCTTTTCGCTATATTACTTTAAAAGACAAATTTGGTAAATTATTCATTTAATTTAAGATCTGATACTAATTGAATCAGCATTGTAGCATTTAATATTAAAATTAATCAGGTTAAGTATCGGAATTGGTAAAGACTCCGTTAAAGTTCATATTTATTTCACTTTCAGTGTGTGAGCCTGTTTGTGAGAGTGAGTGAGAGATATAGAATTTATCTGTTTTTTTTTATTTTTATTTTTTTTCATCATTTTGTGTTAATAAATTTGTTTGTTTATTCTGATTGACATTGTCTTCCTTCTCAACTCTACAACGTCAAAAAAAAAAAAAAAAAAAAAAAAAAAAAAAAAAAAAAAATTTAAAAAAAAAAAAAAAAAACTCTTAACACTTTGCTTAGCTGTATTTTATTTAACACTTTTCAGTAGTTTATGCACCCTTACTATGTTTTTTTTTGTTTTCATGACGGAAGAAAAATACCGAGTTTTGGCTGCGAATTTCTTTTTTTTTTTTACAATATGAAAAAATTAAACCATTATATGGATAAAAAGAAGTAATTCACTGTTGAAAAAGAAAAATTGTGCAACAGTGCAACCTCGGAGTTAATGTGTTTAGTTTTCTATGAAATGTAATAATTAAATTATTGTATTGTATATTGAATATTTTATCTATTTAGCAAGCCCTCCCCCAAGGAAACTTTAATGTTGGCAATTGAAATAGCACACCTCAAACCGACAAAATTCTTTACATGAAACTGATGTAGAAGGTTTTGGATGAAATATGAAGATAACGAAAAATAATAAAATTAAAAAATCCATTGAAGCAATACAAATTTGGAGCAGACACGGACTTCTAAAACATGAGAAGTAGGATCAAGTTCCATGTTGGAGTAAGCATCCTCTGTCGACTGGCAACACCAGCTGCTGTGTGCTCCTCGGAAAAATCCGTCGACAATTTAGTGTCAAAATAATGGTCTATCAATTTGTATGAAAAACGTCAGTCAACTTTCGACATAATGATAGATTGAATTTACTTACAAGGTCATTGTATCGACCACAGAATTTGCAAAATGTTGACTTTAAACGTCACATTGGATATTCTTGTGAAATATATGGAGATAACGAACAGTATTCAAGCTCAAAAGTTTCTTCATTTTATTTGTCTGTAGCTTGCCTGATTTTAGAGAGTTTGTACGTATAATATGTTCTTGCGAATCGAATCAACTGGGAGACGTTAACTCCATATGCAAGTAATACTGGTATATTGCTACATAAATAAGGGAACCTGACGATGGATAAGTTGAAGTCATCATGTTTATCGTAAAGTTTTGTTGTTAGGTTACCATTAACGTCTCTTTCTAGTAAAATATCCAAATATGAAACAGATGTGTCAGACTCGGTGGATTAGGGATGTATAATCCAAGAGTATTCTTTTTTTTTTAAGAAAAGCTACTTACTATTTGATAAAACTATTAAATGAGCATGTAAAACAGGTGATATGTACTTTTCAAAATTACATATAATTGGTTTTTCATTTGAAAGAAATGTTAACTTAGTTTCTATTTTTTTTTTGTATGTGAAAACTTTAGTACTGTGCATTTTTTGTATTTTATTTGTCTGTGAAGCAATACAGTAACGATGTCTTACATGGATTTCAAAAAAATATTTAGAGAAACTTTAGAAGTGTCTCAGTCATGATGGTCTATTTACTCTATCTAACTTAAAACAGGCCTGAGAGTTTTTTTTTTTTTTTTTTTTTTTTTTTTACAAAACGCTTCGCGAAGGGAAGGAAAATCTCGCGTTTTGCCGCACTTCTGATATTCTTTCACATTGTGTCAAAATATCACTTTGATATTCTTTCACTGTAACAAAATATCAGTTTCATTGAGTAAATTAATTACTGTATTTCACTTTTGCCGTTATTCACTTGAAAAAAAGTTATTTAAAAGACGATCTTTTTAAAAATTTGAAATGTAAGGTATGTTGTATGTTTCCTATCCACATAAATTTAAGATATCCTTTTGAAAAGAAAATCTTTATAGTTAAAGCAAAATGTCATATCATTGAACAGAGTTTTTACAATAATGTTTACATTTTTCAGTGATTCTAGCTAATATTGATCATTTGGCTTTTTGCAAGTAAATATATGGGCGCTGTAAAAAGTGAGATATATGGGTGTTGTGACTGGTGGGATATCTATGTACTGTTATTAATTAAATATCTGGTTGATGTAAAAAGAAAAGGGGTTGGGGATACCTTGGTGCTGTAAGTAGTAAGATACCTGACTGCTGTTAATAGAGATATCTGGGTGCTGTAAGATGCAGATGTATCAGACTCTGTGGTATCTTTTATTTCAAGCTCACTGGGAAATATCGTGTCGATATATGAATGGAAATAACTATCGTTAATTGATAATACGTCGTCGATATATCCAAATGTCGAGTTGAAGGCCACAGGAAGAGATTTCTTTTTCTCATGTATAATATTTTGAATAAATTCTGCTTCATATAAATACAAAAAAAGTTCTGCTATCAACAGGGCGCAATTGGTACCAATGAAAATTCCAACAGATTGTTAGAAGACCTGGTCTCCAAAAACCACAAAGATATTGTCAATCAGAAACTGGAGTATCTTTTTAATATCAACTTCAGAGAACTTATGTGTGCAACCAGCTTTTAGACAAAATAATTTTACAAATGACCAATGGCAAGGTAAGTAAATTTACGAGTTCTTTTTTTATGAAAAAGCAGCTGTCAATGATGTCAAAAATGCCTTGACTTTAATTTATCATGGGGAATGGTTGTATACAGAGTTGAAAAGTCGTAAGTTTTCATGTTATTGATTTCTGATAAATTTTGTGATTTCAAATTTTCCAAACGTTCCTTGGAATTTATAAGTATCCACATCTAATTTACACCACTTCTCAAATAAATTGTTGTATAGTACTCCTGTACTATATATGTATGTATCTTTGTTTGTAAGGATTTTATAAAGTTTCGGAATCCTATATAAATATGGTAATTCAAATTCATCTTGGTTGTTGGGACAATTAAAAATACTCAAAACTGATATATGATTTTGAAGAATTTCCTCCTTATATTAGAATGGGAGCTTTGGGTATAACATGTATAAGCTGCATAGCCACTTGTAGAGATGAAATGTTTGGAGATAACGAACAGTATTCAAACTCAAAAGTCCATTAAACAATAAAAATTTTGGAGCAGAGCACACACGGACCTATAAAACATCAGAGAGTTAAAACCCAGTTCTTCTAAAATACATTTAAAATAATGAACATTACAAACAAAGACAATAATGTAACCTGCTTTGTCAGCTGAGACCAGTACATACTGATCGTATAGTCTATCTAATTATTTTTTTCACTTCTGAATTATTGAACACAGAAGGATAGATGGTTTTCATATTGCCCCTCAATCGCTTAATGCGAGATTTTAACACACATCTGATGTATTTAATCCATTTTGACAAAGTGTCAAGGTCTTCTTTTTCATGTCTGTCCATCGCCTGGCGTAATCTTCCACAGAATTAATAATATTTATGAAATTATGATTCCAGTTGAAAGATCGGGGTTCCCTAGATTTTGGCCCTTTTAAAATAAGTGATCTAAGGTCCTCATTGTCTAATATATTTACGTCACCAGTAATAACGTGTACAGCAGGACTATAGTTGTAGGGTGAAGAATTTAAATATGATTTAAATATTTTTCCAACCAAGTTTCAATTTTGCGGTGTGTAATAACATTCAAAGAAATAAGAAAAATTTTAACAAAGCATGTGCTATTTTTAATAAAGATAAGAATATATTTGATTATTCAAATTCATGCTGAAAATGCTCATAACAGTATCTTTGTTTAAAACAGGACATTGTCCATGTTTAGTACACTTCTTCATACAAAAAAATAGTACTAGTCACCAAATTATCTAATTGTATATAAAATCCTTATTACACATTTATAAGTCATCTTAAAGAACCCCGTTCATTTCCGTTAGCTGTTCCTCACCAATCTCTCTCAAAGATTTCTCAAATGGAACGTACTTCCACTTCGTAACAGGCAAAGGCTTTCTTGGTTGGTCTTGCTTTTTGTAATAAACAAATCTTCCCTGACCCATGACTGGTAAACCTACTCCTTTGAAACGATAAACAGTTCCCAGCTTCTCAGCACAGTTATCGTGATACCATTCTGTTAACTGTTCTAAATCGTCGCCATTGTAGGGCTTCTTTTTCAGTTTTTTTTGTGTTATTTTTGCCGCTATGTTTTTATCTACAACGGCATGATGGACACCCTTGATCAGGAAAATATTTTCACAATCTATGTCAAATTTACCACATCTTGTACAAGAAACTGCATATTCGGAATGATCCCTTTTTGTCAAGTTCTCCTCCTTTTCTTTCTGTTGTTTTCTTTTTTCTTCAAGAAGGATATCGTTTCGACATTTATCAAGTTTTTCTTTAAGCTTCTCTTGACTCATGTTGCAAATTTCGTTTACTGCGTCCGTCATCAGCAGTGCCCTCTGTGTGTTCAGGTGTTCTCTTATAGTATGTTTGCCTTCACCAATTGTTATGAACGTGCCCTCGTCTTTTCGAATTCGTCCTACACGAATAAGAGGCTTATAAAAACTATAGCTTTATTACAGTCACTGAAAGTATGTAATACATTGGTATATATGAAATTATCTTGCAACTAAATAAATGATAATCAAGAGGTCGTGGGCCACATCGCTCACTTGTGTAAGAGAGCTCCTGTTTTTCTTTAGAAGTTTTCCTCTAGCTCCCATGAAACAATTTATCCCATATTATGGCTTAATCTCAAGGGATTACTGTTTAACCATACTTGATTCCACAGACTATTTTACTTCAATATCAATATCACCAACATTGCTCTGATAATCCCCTCGGGAATTTTCTCCATTTACATTCAGCATTCCAAATTTTATCTCAAAATATTACCCTACCCTTTTCCTTAGTTCTATAATTAACCTTCAGAATGTTTGTATAAATAAGATGATAGACCTGTTACTCTTGGGAACATTTGTTCATACTCATTCTCTTTTAAATGCATGATACTCTTATGCAGTCATATTCTAACCTTAAGGACAACGGTATGTTCAAACTTGAATCTCTGCTTTTTCGGGATTTTAGCAAAAATATGACTGATCATAGCCCTGCAGTTCCTCAGAAGATTTTTAAAAGGTTTTCCTATATATTCCCTTTTAAAGCTTTGATCCCCGATTATGACCACACCTTTCTTCCGGCCGGGATCGTGTCTTGTATACATTGCATAAAGATGCCTCCACATACCTAAAAACAAATCACGGTCTTTCGGTTATTGTGAGAAAGATCTCCTTTGATTATTACTAATCAAGATATCACTTAATTTGCAAGGAGGTATTTCTTTTTACTATTTTTCAATACATTCTCCTGTTAAATTTTCATCCCCCATTGTGGCCGGCCTTTTTCCCAGTGGTCATGATTTAAACAAATCTGAATCTAATCTTGAGGATTCCTAATTATATATGTCGACATATCCATGGTATTCGAGATATCCGTGTTGGAGATACCGAAGTTAAACTGTATGTGATTAATCATGGCCTTGCTGTCCTTGAGAAGAAGATTTTAAAAAAAAAATCTCATATATTCCCATGTAAAACTTTGTTCCCCTTTTAAAGCCCAACCGTATCCCGTGATTTAAATAAACCTGAATGCACACTACATAGGTCGCTTCCATATGGTAATGATTGTCAGATTATGGTAGGCGTAAGAATATCAGGTAAATGAATAAAGTTTGATCATTTTTGAACTGTTTGACAAAATGAAAATGATTGTTCTGCAAAAGTAACATTCCTACATTTATCGATTGTTTCTAAACAGGGCAATAAATTGACCTTATTCATGATCAAACCAATTTTTCAAAATAATATTATGGATTCAGTGACCATTTTATTGTTCCACATTTTAATACGTTATATAAGAAAGTGATATAAAATTACATGTCCTACACGCATTTTTTCTTGTACATAAACATTTCTTGTTATCTATGTACAAATAATAAAAGACTACCAGTGTGTGATTTTTTTTTAAAAAAAAAAGGAAAGTTATACATGGTCAGATAATCAAATCAGTTGCAGGAAATTTAAAAAGTTACATTTTTTAAAGAAATATGCATGTAGAAATAAAACAAAGCTAAACTATTACAATATTGTTTTTTTTATTTTTGTACGTAATTTCTGATAACTCACAAAAATAAAACATTAAAAAAAACAATGTTGACCAGAAAACGCGGATATTTGATTACGTGAAGACTAGAAAAGGGAATACTATGAGAAGAGATATTTGAAAAAAGGATGATAATTTAATTTAAAGAAATCAATCAATCTTATAATGGTTGAATACAGTTAACAGAGGACCACAGGTGATCTTATCATTGGATATCAAAATAAGATAAAATCAAATGTAAATGAGTGAAAGGTGGACTCCCGATGAGACGGGCTATTCTATAAAGTGAACTTTCTTTATTATGTGCGATATGTTTTCAGGTACATGTAACCCTGACCATCTTTTTGTAAAGTATGACCTAACACTTCCATGTTATTATATCAAAGATATTGTCTACAAAGAGTTTCACCTTTCCCTCCCCCTCCTCCCAATAAAAAGTCTCTGGATTATGGTCAGTCATTTTTATTAGAGTTTTTCAGGAACTTTCTGTGTATCATGAAGTATCACTACTTTCTTGCTTTTATCTTGAATGCACGAGGGGCATTTGAAAAGTTCTTGGAACCGGTTCACGGAAGTTAATGAGTTCGATACCTTCGAAAACAGCTGATAAAATTTGCACTTATTTCGACGTCATTGTCTTATTTTTATGATGAATATCTCCGAAAATGACGCCAGAATCTCGAATTCTTAGCATACTGATAAGTCACGTTTTTTGTCCATATTATAAATTCGGAAAAGTGCTGTCAAAAGCTTATTTGAAAAGATACATAAAAAAATGCATAGAGGTAGAGTAAAACTTTAATAGTGGTACTGTAAATCAGCAATTCTATATTACATCTATGGTTAGTTGATAGGCACAGTTTATATCCGGTTATGTTATCCTAGGCATTCATAAATGGCTTTTTACTGATATGTTTCATGTATAGCTTGACTTTCGATCTTTTAAAAAAAAAAACCTCCACTGTATTAAACAAAACACATTCTATATAAAGCTAAAGTGTAACAATGCAATTTTCCACAAATGTATCTTGAGTATCAGGACTCTCACCGTTTACGAGTAAAACGTACAAAAGTCTTCCCCCGGACTTGTTTCTGTGCGTATTTTTTATATCATTTCGACTTCGGTGATCCAAGACTTATTATTGTTTTTGATTTTCGACTCAAAAAATTAATAAATCTGAGTTTCATTGCCATGTACAAGCTTAGTCATTTTCCAAGATTTAAAATTTATGGACATATCGAGTTACATGTACTGTGGGGTCACAACTACACCGGCGTAATTTTCAGAGATATTACGTAATAAAAATTACAGAGTTTCGTCACAATATGTTTATAATTTGCGATCTGTCCAACGATATCAAACTCAGTATTTTCCGTTAAACGGTAAATATTATATCAAACAGATTTCAGAACTTTTCAAATGCCCGCGCTTTGTATGTCAATTCTGAAATTTTATGGATTTATTTGCCAATCTAATTTCTATCTGAGTTTCTCTGACACATTGTGAGTGTATACCGTTTAGTTTTACCAAAATGAAACTGAAAAAAAAATAGCTCTGTCTTTGTTGCTATTCACACTCATAGAGAATTTTTTTTAGAATTATTTACTGGCTCATGACCAGCTTACGGCATCTACCAGTTCTTTGACAGGCCACTAGCATACGTGAAAGAACAAGTAATATGACGCAAAGAAGAAAAAAAATTGCTTAGTTCCAACGATGATAGAAAAATGAATTTCTGAAAAATAATTACGACATATTACCTTTAAACTGTCTGGAAGTTATTTCATTTCCAGCACACATGTATCTAATGGCTCCTGAACATATTTCGATATTAAGGCCCTCTCCAGCTATATCTGTGGCAATTATTCCCTGTAACTCTCCAGAATTTAATTTCTTTATAACATCTTCTTGTTGTTTTTGAGTCATAGCTGCCAATAAAGTAAATTGAATTATTTTTATAGGATGATTGGCTGTGATAGACTTTCATTCTTTAAAAACTTTTTACCTCCGTTTCATAATATTTTTACTTATATTAGGAACCTATTTTGTTTCATAATCTTTTTTTCAATGAGAATGAAATATTTATATTCATTTTTGTTATACAACTGTTTAAAATTCGTAAGTTTTTTACTTCTCTTTTAGATTTTTTGACTGTAAAAAATCACTCAAGTTAGATTGTGTATATTAATGAATAATTACATTCAAGGAAATAACATAAACAACATAAATACATGTCACAAAGTAAAAGACACGGTGTAGTCAGGAAATATACAATTGCTAAATGCCAACTTATATTTTAAAACATATATTTTAAAAGAAATACAGTTTGTAACTCAAGTCTTATCATGATTACCTACCTGGTGCCTAATTACCTGATTACCTACTGTATATTTGACATTGTCAGCCGATGGCTTACCTGTACTTAGACATCTTATTACTTACCTGTGTCTACTTATCTGATTACTGACCTGGTAACTGATCACCTCAATACTTAACCAGTACGTAGTCACCTAATTACTTAACCTGTGGCCTCGTCACCAGATTGCTCAGGTAGCTCAGTCGGTAGAGCGCTTGCTCCGTGATCGGAAGGTCGTGTGTTCGAATCACGGCAACGACTGACCTAAGCAAATAAAAAATAGGTAGCAACTGTTCTTTCGCCATGCGCTCGGCACTTTGAAGTAAAAGTTGCGGGTCCTTCGGATGAGACCTTAAAAACCGAGGCCCTGTGTCACGGCAGGCGTTGGCGCAATAAAGAATCCTCACTGCTCAATGGTCCTGAGTGCCCAGTAAAGGTCTTCAATTTGAAGCCCTTCACCGGTTTATGGTGACGTCTCTATATGAGTGAAAAATTCTCGAACGGGACGTAAAACAACATACAATCAATCAATTGTCACGCGATTAGTTACCTCGTGCCTAGATTCCTGACCTGATACCCAGTCGTCTTATTTCTAACTTGGGTCATATGTACCTAGTCATCAAGTTTTTACGTGGTGCTTTTTCACCTGATTACCAAGTCACGTGATCACTCCACTTACCTAGTGTCTATTCACATGATTAGCTGGTCACCTGATTTCTTACCTGCTGACTTTTCCTTTAATTATTTACCTGGTGCCTCTTGACATGACAACTAACCTGGTGCACCGTCTCCTGACTGTTGTCCTGTCAATCGCCCAAACTTGTAATTCTCTTGCTTCAAAAATTTTTCCATCCAAAACACAAGTTCTCGTGTCCTAACAAATATGATGACAACAGAGTCCTGCTTTACTTGTTCTTGAAGGAGTTCCAAAAGTTTGTCAATAGGTCGATCTTTCGACTGGGAAGTGAACATATCTCTCATTTTTATCTTCATGGCTGACAAATATACACATATCACAAAATTTATCACTCTCTCTCTCTCTCTCTCTCTATATATATATATATATATATGTATATATATATATATATATATATATATATATATATATATATATATATATATATATATATATATATATATATATATATATATATATATTCCAATTCCTTTTTTTGGGGGTTAATAGAACAATGTATATATACATGTACTAATATGCTTTCTTATGAGATTTTTAAAAAAAATCATTTAAAAACGCGAATTTAAAGAATTTAAAACATTCATGTGAAAGGATGATACGAATATTTTCCTTACTTTCTGTCAGATTTACAAGGACACTTTCAATTGTAACTAGAGATGGTTTTCCTAGATTTTCACGCTCTAGTTTTTCTTCAAGAGCAAGGAGGGCACTTCCACCGCGTATACACAGGTTTATTTCCAAACATTCGCTTAATATCTACAAAATATATTAAGTTCTCTTGTTAGGCCACTTTTTACACTAAAATTTCTATGGATTTTTCCATTTACCCGATCATCAAAACTATTGGTGGGAAGGGATTATGAGTTGCTCAGTCTTTCATGGCACCTGATACCAACTCTGTATTCAGAAATCAGTGCTTGCTCTGCTCACAATTTGTATTATTTGATTTCACTTTGAGCATGAGATCACTGTTATCTTAACAATCCATTCTAGGTTCTTCTTAGTCTTCCAAACCAAATCTTAAGATTTTCTGGGCTAACACCATCCCTAAAGAGTACATTATGTTACTGCTAACTAGAACCAGAAACCAACAATAACGTTATATCGCAGATGTTGGTGATGTCTTGGTCACTATTTTTTGCATGCCCGGAGTTGATCTTCGATGGCCATCCTACCGTTCACTGTAGCTCAGTCGGTAGTGCGCTCTCTCCATGATCGGGAGGTCGTGAGTTCGAATCTCCTTGACCTAAGTCGTTAAAAAATGGGTAGCAACTGTTCCTTCGCCATGCGCTCGGCACTTTGAAGTGAAAGGTGCGGGTCCTTCGGATGAGACCTTAAAAACCGAGGCCCTGTGTCACGGCAGGCGTTGGCACGATTGAGATCCCTCACTGCTCAATGGCCCTGAGTGTCGAGTAAAGGCCAAAATTTGAAGCCCTCCACCAGTTTATGGTGACGTGTCTATGTGAGTGAAAAATTCTCGAACGGGACGTAAAACAACATACAATCAATCAATCAATCGATGCCCATCCAAGGAAAATAGGAACAGAGGCCACCAAAAAGAAAACAAAGACACGAAGATCGGAGGGATGACCATGGAAATATCGCCTTCAGTAGTTGCAGTCAGAACCGGGCGGAGATCCTCTGCAGTCCTTAAGCACCAGACCCCGCAAAGAGGATGAGTGAGTGAGAAAGTTTTTAGGGTCCACATAGACTTTCAGAAATAAATATTGCTTGTTATATTTGTAGTTTTAAGAGATCAAGTGTAAAACTTGATATATTATGACTAGCTTTGTAGCCTTAAATATACCCATTAATTATGAGTTATTGTGAATTATGAGTTATTAAAGCATCCAATGATGTATCAAAATTTACATTCTTTTCTGGCATTCAAAATTTTGTATTGATATGTACAACATGGTAACAAAAATCACATAGTTGTTTACTTTGAGATATCTAGCGTACAGCTTGATTTCTGTAGACAATGGTAAGTTTTTTCCCATTAGTGGATGGGCCCTTTCTTCAATCTTTCTACACCAAGTAATATATTGACTGGAGTGCCTATCATCAGGGATCCCCAAGATCACATCCCTCATAGCTTCTTCATCTTCATCGTTTTCGCTTAAATGATCTGGAAAATTATATTCTAATCTATAAATGAAATCTCTTTTCTAAACACTTTAAAAGGAATAAAAACTAAACATTCAATTTTAAAACATATTTATACTTTTAAAGTATTCAAAGATATAAAATAAACAGAAAATATAAACAACCTTTAAAGTAAAAACGCAAGGTATAGTAATGATATACTTGAAGGAAGAGGTACATACATGTCTTTGTAGTTTTTAGTGTATAAAAGACAATGTTAGGCAGTCAATTGTCTTTTATATAACACTATTTATAGCAACGCGTATCTATATCCGTATAAACACGGGTTCCTCGTGTCATAAACGTTCGACGTAATTTCTCAGTGACGTCATAAAGGGTCGACACGCAATTCAGTGGATCAAACACGTGCCGTTGGGTTTGAAAAATAAAACGTTTCACGCGTTAAAGATTACAATCAGGCAATATATAATATGAGTAAGTCACAAATGTAAATATAAGTAATATGGTATCATTTTAAAACATCTGTTGGGCTATAAATACGGGTTGGTACGAGATTAAATTTACCATAAAGCTCTTCGGGCTTTATGGAATTTGATATCGTGACCAACCCGTATTTATATCCCGATAGATGTTTAAAAATGATACCTTATTTCTTAAAGAATTTAAGAAATACTGACTTTAAACGAGGTTGTTGAAATCACTGTTACATCAACTTATCTGTCAGTAGCTTGCCTCGGTTTAAATTTTGATCGTATTCAGAGTATGCTCTTGAATTTCGAGTAAGCCGGTAGAAGTAAACGTATTCACTGATAGCGAAATATTACTTAATAAATAAGGACATTAACAATGGAAAAGCTGAGGTCACTTTGTTTGTCATACAATTTAGTTGCTCGTTGGTCCCTATCTTTAGTAAAACATTCAAATATGAAACGAATGTGGCAGACTCTGTTATGTGGATCTTTCTTTCTTCTGTAGTGTCTTTTACTTCAAGTTCACTGGGATATCGAGTCGACATATGAAGGTAACTATTGTTTATTGATAAAATCTCGTCGATATATCTGAATGTCGAGTTGAAGGCCACATCATGCAGTTTTTTCTTCTTTTCTAAAAGTTTTTGAAAGTTTCTGCTTCAATTTTGGACCGTGTTTGCTATTCATATCTTTTTCACCTTATAGGGATATAATAAAAGGTCGGCTAATAAAGAGGCACAATTTGATCTTATCGGAATATCAACAGTTTGTTGGAAGATCTTGTCTCTGGGGGCTACATACATGTTGTCATTAAGAAACTCCAGCATTAATTTAATATCAACTTTAGAGAACTTGTGTGTTGAATCAAAGTGATTTATAATAGGGTAATTTTGTTAATAACCAATGACAAGTTACGAAAAATTTTCGAGTTCCATTTTTTAAAGAAGCCGTTGTCTATGATATCAAGAAGTTTCTTTTTTAATTCATCGTGAGGAATAGTTGTACAAAGTATAGAAAAGTCGTACGTTTTGATGTTGTTGATTTTTGAAAAAAAAAAAATTGGTGATTTTAAATTTTGGCTTTTGATTTACACCACTTCTGGAATATGCTGTAGCATAGTTCGTCTGAAGTTTCTTTTTTACAGCAGTTAATATCTTTTAAGGAATAAAGCTAGGGGATTGGTAGAGCATTTGTTGGACCAGGAAATTTATCCTTTTTTGTAGGGATTTTTATGAAATTTAGGAATCCAGAATAGATCAAACTTACTTTTGTTTACTAGGATGTTAAAAGTATTATGCACTGCAATGTGATTTTGAAGAATTTCTTCAAAAATACAGTTATAATAATGAGCCTTACAAACAAAGACGATATTGCCACGACCCTTGTCTGTTTGGAACCGTGGCATATTGATCATGTAGTTTATCTAATTCTTTAATTACCTCCGATTTAGTGAATACGGAAGGATAGATGGTTTGCATATTGCCTTGTAATTTTCATTCTAAAACACTTATACATTTTGACAAGGTGTTTACGTCATTCTTTCCATATTAAGGCATAATCTTCGACAGAATTCATAGTACATGTAGAAATGAAGTTCTGTTCAATCAAAAGATCAGTGCTCCCTGTATTTAGGACCTTTTAAGGTTATTGATTTTAGGTCTTCATTTTAAACAATATAAATATCACCAGTAATGAAATGTCCAGCGGGACTGAAGTGAAAGAAGAAGAGCAATGATATTGAGTGAAGTTAGTTTTAGATGTCAATATCTTGGCACTGTAATGGTTTTTTAATGGGTTTTTTTTTATTAAAAAGTTTGGAAGCAGCAGTTTTTGGAATATCTGTAGGTAATGCAAGGTATTTCACCTAATATGGTGGAATGGTAGACATAAATTTTTATGACAAATGAGAATCGTGAAAAGGGCAAAACCAAGGAACCCTAGAAACACAAGTGGGATCAAGTGCCTAGGATGAGAAAGCATCCCCTATTGACCGGTCACACCAGTCATGAGCCTTATGAATCGATCAGATAGATGGAGAAATTTGCGTTGAAAATTAGAATAAAAACTGTGACCAAAAAAGTGTGTGAAAATGTCACACAGGTTGCATTTAAAATATCTTTACATTAGTAATACATGGAAATAAAAATAAAGGTGTGTGACAATTTGACATTTGACGTCAATCATACATAAAGGTATACATAATTTTACTTATTCTCACAGTTCACTTGTTAAGGGTCAGTCTTAAATACTTTTAACATTCCAGACAAAGACAATGTGTTTGATCTACAATATAAACACTGGATTCCAAAACTTCATAAAGATTCTTGGAGAGAACACATTCAAGGTTCTACCAGATGCACTACCGAGCCTCATAAAAATATATAACCCGCTGTAAAGGAGAAACCTCAGACGTACTGTGCTGCAATATTTTTAGAAGTTGTGTAAATTAAATGTATATTCTCCAAAAGTCCAGAGAACTATTCGAAAATTTTGAAATCAAGAATTTTAAAAGGAAAAGAACATCAAAAGGTATTATCTTTTTATATAGCAGACTTCGCCACAAATTAGATCTATGTATGTACAATTTCTAAAACGAGGTAAATTATTGACAAATAAGTTGATGAAACAAGAATATCAGCTGTCTCGTTTAAAGTCATCATTTCGTAAGTTCTATGGTCGATACAATGACCTTGTCAGCAAATACAATTTATCATTGAGTCAAATGCTGACTGACGTTTTTCATACTAATTGTTAGGCCATTATTTACACACTGAATTGTCGACGGATTTTCCCGTTATTTCCCGATCATGACAAGGAGCACACGGCGGGTGTGACCGGTCGGCAGGGGATGCTCACTCCTCCATGGCACCTGATCCCACCTCTGATGTTTGGAGGTCCGTGTTTGCTCTGCTCCTATTTTGTATTGTATAATGGACTTTTGAGCTTGAATACTGTTCGTTATCTCCATATATTTCATCTAGGCTTTTTATATCATAGACAACGGCTTTGTCAATAAAAATGGAACTCAGGAATCTTTATACGTTGTGTTTGTTTTGTTAAAATCATTACTTTGTTAAAATCACTCCAATTCTTCAAGTACTCTGAAAGTGATATTAAATATGCTGTAGTTCCTCATTGACACTATGTATATATTCTTAGGACAAAATATTGGGTTTTCATGAGCACTAATTGTTCTCCTTCATAAGCCGACTTGATTTTAGATTCCTAAGAAGCAGAGTTTACTGAAAAACGTCTACATGAGAAGAAGACAACACTTGTAGTCTTCAACTCGAATTTAAGATATATCGACTAATTTTATAAATTAACAATAGTTACTTCCATTCATATGTCGACTCGATATATCCAGTGAACTCGGAATAAAGACATAACAAAATCTGCCATATCTGTTTCACATTTAGGTGTTCTACTGAATATGGAATAAAGATGGTTTTTCAACTACATTGTCAGACAAACGAGTTGTCCTTCAGCCTTCCCATCGTCACTTTCCTTTATTTCATATTCCACTATCACCTGCGTATGGTGTTTATTCGATATTCAAGAGCATGCTCCAATTTTTAAGCCATAACTGGCTATTAATAGATACGTTAATGTGAAATCAATTTTACCTTTTACCGTCTGGACTTTTTTCTCCAGCATTGCCATAAAATTTTCAATTACTTCGCCCACAGCATCCTTTTCCTTTTTAAGCTGAATGATCTCTTCAAGAGAGACATATAGGTGCAAAGTTATCTTGAAATTGCAGAATCTAATATTGAGGCATGTCTAATGAGAAATAATCGGTTTTACTTATGTGTATATCTCATAGATTTTTTTCAGATTTCTTTTAGATTTATACATTCAGGAAATGATGATAATATTGATATATATATGTTTTTGCCAATTCAAATTTGTTTGTATTCTTTACAGAAGCGTATTAATGATTCTTACCTGATTTTACATTCTTCAAAAATTTATGGTAATTATCCTTTTCTTTTGTAACAATGGACAAGTCCTCTACATCAAGATTTGCCATAATACCAATGATGTGCGACTCTGCTTTTTCCAAAGAGTTTGCTGACCCTGTCCCAAGAGTTGCTGTTAGTCCTAATATCTAATCCAAAATTGTAATTCAAATCATAATCTAGGTAGTTTTTCTGAGCGTTGGGGGGGGGGGGGGGGGGGTGATAGCATGCATATAAAAATGTGAATCAGAAAATTACTTAAATTTTATTTGATTTAATTTTTTCGATTACTTACTTGTGGAACACTATATCCTTTCTCTTTTTCCATGTGATATCTTCGCATTACCTTATTGAAAATGTGCTCGCCATATGTATGGTGACATTCATCAAACACAAGCAGCGTGAACCTACTCAAGATTTCGGGGTCGTTGCCCGAATCTATCGTATTCAGAATAAGTGCAGGGGTCATGATGATAATTGGCACACATTTAGCAAATAAATGCAAGTTTTTACTATGGTTGCTGCTACCAGATAGCATCATTGCCATTTCCTTGAAATAAAAAAATATGAAAATAATTTTAGATTAAAAACAACACAACTTATGATAAGGGAGAGATAACAAACAGTGATCGATCTACAAACAATACAAATCTAGCTGTGAGCAGGGTATAAAACACGGACCCCTGAAATTTCAAGAGGTGGGATCAGATGCCAAGGTGGAGTAAATTATATCAAAATCACAAACAGTCGTACAGAAAATATTCATATCGTTATTGATGCGGGATATATATATATATTTTTTTTTATCAAAATGTGAGTCAGTATATTCAGTACGCAAACTTTTAATTCTCCCCAGCCATGATTCAACGAGATATAATAACTTGATATTCTGCAAATAATATTGCTAAATTCTGATTTAGGGGATTTAGAAATGAAATATATATTAAGCTTGATAGTGACATCCCATTGCAGGGCAAAAAAAGCTGTTAATGTTAAATAATTTTTTTCTATCTTCTCACAAGAAACTAGTATCAAATTGTGTGAAAAATGTCAGTTAAACAGTGTACTCGATACGATAAACTCGATATGAGGTTTTTGCGATGATTATTTAGAGCTTTTTGTCTACAGCTGTTGTCAAAATGTGTTTTATTTCAAATATTGACATTTTTCAGTCGGATATATATCTTGTGATTGGTCTTATAAAAAAATATTGTTAAAAATTTAAGAGGATGCATTTTATATACAATATCACTATGGTCGTTGGAGACAAGGTATTTTGACAATCGATTAAAATTTGATGGGCACTAACGTTAACAGTGTTTCTATAATAACGATATCCCGATCTTTTTTATATCTTATTAAACAATCTTAGAAAAATTCTTAACAATGGCATTATCTTCAATTAAAAATGTGAGGATAACAAATCAATATCATTCATCGTAAACGAAATCCACTTAGAGATTTATGCATATCAATGTATCACTATATCAGTAAGGAATTCATCAAGGACGTTTCAAAAGTAAACTTTATAAAAAAAATTTCTTAATTATGTAGCAGTATGTATGTATCTGCAGGTTGTCTCTTAAAAGTAACAAACATTAGCAAGTGAAATATGAAAATACGATCAGTAATCAATCTTAGAAGTCCTTTGAAACAATACAAATTTGAAGCAGAGCAAACACGGGCCTCTAATAAAACATCAGAGGTGGGATCAGGTGCCATGGAGGAGTAAGCATCCCCTGTCGACCGGTCACACCGGTCGCAACCATCATGACAACGAAAAAAGAACGAAAAAAACCCCAAAACAATCAAACATGACGAAAAAATAATTAGATTATTCTGTAAAATATTGTAACAGTATCAATGTCTTGAAATCTTTTAACATATTTTTCATTCCAGATGAATATTTCATCTTCGTGAAAAATTACAAAAAATGACTTACTTCATACTCAGGTAGTAACATTTTGAGAGCTTTGTAGTGTTGAGCAACTAATACTGCATTATTGGCTAAAACTCCGACAAGTCCTAAAATAGATTACAATAAAAAATTTAAAAGTCTATTTTCAGATACGTGAAAATAGTTCAGTAAAAATACGTTATAACACACAAAGTCAATGTTTATATTTTGTGGTTTATTTAATAATAGTATGATATTTGAACCACTCCCAAGAGGGTCGTGTACGACATCGCTCAACTTGGTCCTGCTGATTTTTAAAATATACTTTCCCCTTTTCATTTCATTGAAGACTATGAACTAATTTTGAACCCCGTTCCTAAGGACCAGAGTTAAACTAAATATTAATCAAAAAAAAAAAAAAAAAAAAAAAAAAAAAAATCATTGGGATTTTTAACCAATAAGAAGATCTGGTGTCTTTTTCAAAAAGTTTATTAAGACACCTTCACCGTATAGTTTTTAAATTATTTCCTGGATGTTCACCAGAATAAAGCAAAACAATTGATATAAACAATAGTTTAAAGCTAGATTAGGCCAAAATTGCCAAAATATTTAAGAAGAGCTGAAAGATAGAACGAAACGATTAAAAACGTAAGAGTTCATCAAGAAGCACCCACTAGCTGCAGAACTGTAGAGTTATGGTTTTATATATTAGTCTTTGACCATAACACTACAGATTCCGTAATGTAAATAAAGTGCAATTTACAGTGCAAGATTTTCTGTGCACTTTGGGGATATACATGTATTTCTCCACTTTCTAGCATTGGTCAATCAGCGACCTTTCATCCCGTAATTCTAGACATATTTTATAAACCAAACTGTATATTTTATCCACCTCCTAACCCTTTATAGACGTCTCTACAGACCAATAAACTCGCTTGTTGTGAATTTGTTGTCGGATGGCATAACGAGTTTATTGGTCTTTAGAGAAGACTATAAAGGGTTAGGAGGTGGATAAAATATACAGGTTGGTTATAGAATATGTTTAGAATTAGGGAGATGAAAGGTCGTTGATTGACCAATGCTGGAAATAAAGGAAATAAACAAAGATAATTCTTTAAGTTCTGGTCAAAAATGAAAAAGGTGACGATAACGAGCAGTGATTGATCTTAAAAAACCCTTGAAACAAATAAAATCCGAGAACGCTAAAGGTGGATAGCTAGTGTGCTCTTGTTTCCCATCCTTCCTCCCTGTCAAATAGTTTAACCTTGAGGTTTGGGCGTATGCAGTTTGTAAAATGTTTATTTTTCATTCTTGACTTGTGCATAGTCATTAAATAAGTTACTCCCATATCCCTTTTTCATGTTTTATTCCGAGCCAGATTACTTCACATTCTATTTTTATGCGATGCCAAGATATTTTACATATTTTATTTTATTATTTCTTCTTTTAGGAAGACTTGGATCTTTCTTTGAACAAATTTAAATCCCCTCAAGAATGCTTTGATGTATATCTCGTTAAAATTCCCCACTGATTTTGAATGAGTCTTAAAATGATCAACAACACATGAGAGATTGAAAGACACACACACGTACATTGGTGTTTGACACTCTTGATCAGAATTTTTTTTAAATATATTTAGCTTTTATAGCAACTGAACTAAAAATAAATATTTTCTGTTATAAACACGATTTTTTTCTATATAGAAAAAATAGAGGTTTTATTGTGGGCATGAATAAGCCAAGGAGAGCTCTAGAGAGAAAATATTAGACAAAAAATGTGAAAATTCTGAAATTTCATGTACCCTCCGGGTTTTTCTTTAAGTGATCTTTAATGATGTCAAATGCTATTCTAGTTTTCCCTGTCCCTGTTTCTGAGCACACTATTGTATTACACCCTCTCTTTGCTTTTTCAGTTAATTCCTTTTGGAACAATCTGAGGTTTAGCCCTTTCTGTTCCTTTGTGTCCATTTCCTCTAAAAAAAGAAAAAAGTAGTAATACACGTACAAACACATTTAAAAAAAAGGGATTAATATGTATTGGAATATGTCTGTGTGTGTGTGTGTGTGTGTGTGTGTGTGTGTGTGTTTTGCAACAAAGGTGCCTGAAAGGGAAAATCGCAAAATTGTATAGAAGATAAATTTTCAAAAAAGTATTGTAATAATAAAATAGCAAAATGTTTTGCATTTCTATGAAAAAATATCTCATAAATCTTCTGATACAATAATTGATTCGGTAGATTAAGTAAGGTTTATTACATTTTCAACAGTGAAATACTGTGATTTATTTATTGAATAAAAGTGATATTTTCTCACAGTGTGAAAGGATACCAAAATGATATTCTCTCACAGTGTGAAAGGATATCAAAGTAAGTAAAAAAATAATTTCTGGCCTGTCATAAGATATAGATAGTAAATAAGCATCTTGGTAGAGCTAAAACTGCAAATTTCTTCCCAAATATGTTGCTAAAATCCATGCTATGTAATAATTTCAATCCACACATCTGCTAAGCTATGACGTCTTTACCACTCAACTATGACGTCAAGCCTATGGCGCTATTAAGCAAAGACAGCTAGAGGCAAAGGGAAAATCAAAGAAAATGTAATAAACAGAAAATTCAATGTTTTGTAGATGAATATGGAATTGATTTCACTCGTGAGACAGGATTTTTTGATATTTTCACTCGTGCTTCGCACTCGTGAAAATATCAAAAAATCCTGTCCCACTCGTGAAATAAATTCCATATTCATCTACAAAACATTAAATATCCTCTATTTATTAGTCACTTATTGAAACGCAATAGACTTTAAAATATGTATTGTAAATACTAATAAATATAATGCGTTTGTCATGGATTCACGAATCACCATGTTTTTCAAGAGAAATTTCTTTAACAAAATTTGAGAGAGAGAGAGAGAGAGAGAGAGAGAGAGAGAGAGAGAGAGAGAGAGAGAGAGTGCCTGTAAGTTCTTTTTTTTCTAATCCGTATTTATTACAATTCAATTTCATTTAGATTGTTTGAAAATCTAAAACCGAGTACTGTATATTCCTAAATATACTCGAGTAATTAATTATCGCGAAATTACGCGAGAAGCACCATTCGCGAAATAAAATTACTCCCTTTTATTTCGTTTGATGCTGAAATCAATGTAAAATCCCTTGATCAACCGTCCACTCGCGAATTATTTTTCTCGCGATATGACGGTTAAGAGCCATTTCGCGAAAATAAGTACTCGCCAAAAAAAGGAATCTACAGTACTTCTTATCAAGTCATTAATGATACCTTAATTATCAGATAAGGTTTGCATATGAATCTATTTCATATTCATCTTCTATTAGCAATCATATGTATGAATTTAATGGAATATTTCATAAATTAACTGGAAAAAATCAACGACTGTTTTCCCCTTAAAATGGGTTTTTACTTTTATATTCATATCTTTCCTACGATTAAAATGAATTCTTATAATAATGTTATTTACAAATTCATGGTAACGTGTTTAATTAGTTAAATTTTGAATATAAGCTCTAAGAACTTGAAAAAAGAGATTTACTTCTTCAGATGAAGTTTGTTGATGGCGTTTGAAACATTGATCTTGACATTAATAATTGTATACTATTCGAGAACATTAAAGACTATACATTCATATGTATAGTACAGTGAAACTTATTACCATTTTCCTCGTCCGAAAGAATATCGATGTTTCTAAGTTTCTTTTCTATTTCCATTGGTATTTCGTCATTTCCAGACTGGTCATTTTCATAATCCTCTACAAAAATAATCATGAAAAATTTTGCTTTTAAAATATTATATTGGTAATAATATGAGTATTCACAAGAAATGTTCTGGATAAAGATATACTTGCCATCACACATTTCTTCTTCGTCTTCCTCGTCATCGCTCTCAGCCTTCCTCTTTTGTCCTCTTCGTCTCTGAAGTTCTTCAAGCATACATACAGCAAGTAGATTAAGGATAATCAGTCAATAAAAGCTTAAAAATTCTTAAAATAATCTGCTTTCAAAAACATGTACAAGATTCACCTGTGAACGCAGTTTCTTCTACATCGTCAATGGTGAGATTGAGACAATCTGCTTCTGGCAAGTCGTAAAGAGAAAGGTGCTCATCTTTTGAGATGATTTTACGCAAAGCGTTTTCTATTTCCTTACTCGTTTGATTATCTATTGGATGTTTAACCGGAAACTCGAAGCACAAAAGGAGAGATCCCATAAAGCATTTCAATTTGCATTCATATTTTTTGAGAAACATTATAAAATCAAAGATTGATAGCAACATGTTAGTTTCTTGGTCATTTGTCAAAGGGCAAACTAGCTTTTGAGATTCCTGGATAGATGTTGTCAGTTTATTTAAAACGTTGCTAAATGTTCGTTTTGTTTCTGCAACTCCTGTATTACACAGGCTTTGGTACATTTGTGAGCACTCTTCTATCGCACCCTCTATCTGAATGAATCTCTCTATTCCATTGATGATACATCCTAGATCTTGAAGGAAGGCATCAGTGTGTTTCGCGGATAAATCCTTCTCTTTAGGATTGCTCAGGGTTACATTTTTGTATGTCTTATAACCCTCTGTAAAAGTAGATAGAAATCCTTTTAAAATATTTTTTTGCAATGAATATCATAACAATTTTTAAATTTAACAAAAACATTTGCTATCGGACAAACTATTTATGTTACACTTTAAATGTAAATGATTAGCTTAGAAATCCATACTTGTATTAATGCAGATTTGACCGAAATGAATACCTACTATCTCCTCGAGCTACAACAAGAGCCATATGCTCCTCCAGTTTTTCTATCATTTCTTCCAGCTTTCTCTCCCTCTCTTCCATATCTTTGATTATGTTGACATACTTTTGCTCAGCACTTTCATCAAGTGACATTGTTTCCATGCGATTAATTTCTTCTTCATACTCCGTTCTTATATTTTTTGACGCAAAATATGCATCCATTCTTACAGAAATGTCCTTAATGATCTGCCAGTGAGTCTGGAAATCTGAATCTGACATCCAAGTGTCTGGTATATGACCATATATTTCATTTCTCATTAGCCGTATTCGCTCAATATCGTCACCTACGGAATTATGACCTGGTTCTGGCATTGTGTCTCCTCCCCAGCCATTGGTCGGTTTTGGGACTTTGGAACATAAATTTCTTATCAGAGTATAAAGAAGTGATATGTCCAAATCTGAATAATTAGAAGCAGTTGATGCTTTCTTAAGAATATCTTTTTGCTTTTCCTTTATTCCTTTTATAAATTTTTTAGTTGCCCTCTGTTCGATGTGGCACGGAGGAACTTCATCTTCCAGAATTAGACGAAGCATGCTTGTTTCTTGGTCAATTATTGCCTTTCCCAATCGGACAAAATTTCCCCGTGACCCTGCAATTGCTGCCACCGCCATTCCTGGATAAAAAAATAATTATTATATATTTGTTATATTATACAGGATTTTTGCATTCCTGATATGAACACAGGCACTCGGCCTTTAATACACACCCTGTATCAGCACCCTCTATTTCACCTATCATCACACCATTTATTAGAGCTTTCCGGAACATTATTGTATTTTCATTCGGGGAACCTTGGATCATTTTCTATTGTTAATGAAGTTCATTAAAATTATTATTTTCATCAGATATCTTATGCTATTCAAAATAATTATTTGTTTAATTTCTAATTATTTCATTTCTTATCGCTGTACATATGCCTTGCCTTTGGAAAAAAATAATGAAACGGAATTTCAACAACAAAAAAAGACACCTTCAATTCTTAAAAAAGTTATTTTTTGACACCTTTTCCAAATATTAGAAAAAACAACAATACATGGCAAAACTGTATCACACCCCATATCAACCCTCGACCAATGTCAATCCTCTGGCCTTCGGCCCTCGGGCTGATATTGGAGTCTCGGGTTGATACAGGGTTTAATACAGATTTTGCCATGTATTCTTCCCTACTGATTTGTTATTTTTAAATTTCTTAGTTTTAAATGCAATGAAAATAGATACTTGTAGTCTTTGAATGATATTATTCCGGTCTTTGGGTGACAAAATGTATTAAAAAACATTTCCGATCCTCATGAATTATTCATCATGTTCCAAACTATTACAAACACACAAGCTTAATCAGAAAAATAAAATAATATTTTTTGGCAAACAAATCAAATGTATCTTAATTCCCAGTTTGTGAAAAATTTACTGACTCTGTATGAAGGACTAGGTTAGTTGAAATTGTCTTTTCTTTTTGATGGTCCTTTTTATGAGTATTTTATTCGGGGTATTGCCTATCCTTCATTACTTGAAAAAGTAACAAAAGTCAGTTTATCAAATGCACCAATCATTCATAAAGCAAATAAATGTAATAATAAATTCTTAAATAGTATTGGATGAGTAATTGAATCTATCGATTAATCTTCAAGCAGAGAATAAACTAGTAATGGATATGTAAAATATGGAAATATCCTAAAATCAATGTACATGTGTCTGTACTTAATTGATATATCACTTCTAATACTGAATTTAAATGTTAATTTTTTTCTTTCCTAAAATATTAAAACAAATGCATCTGCTTCTGACCTTAAGTTTGCATTCCTCTTTTAAATGATGTTATTCCGTAATGGTCTAATTACTCAATTTACCTGAAGCATATATCTGTAACAATAGCTATATGTGTATTCACCCTTGAACACTTTTAAAAATAAAAATATGAATCTATCAACCAGAACTTCGATACTCCAGAGAAAATGTGATGATATTTTTCGATTGCCCTTTATTAAATGATGCACCAGTGATCAATTGTTTTTAATTGCTTTATTCATGTACTGTTCAGGATTCTGAAATTTTTCCACATACTATCGTTTTGACTTGTATTTGAATGAAATATTTTTAGAAAATATATATTAAATGCATTACGATACAAAAGGAAGTACTTTCGATTTAACTTCCGAGAAACAATGAAAAGTATGGATCCATCTTTTAATGATTATTTGCTGAACTCAATTATGGTTAGTATATAATATATATGTATTTATATAAATCTTAATTCAATACATGGAAATGAACATTACGTTACATTATTCAATTTTCACAGATAATAAACAAAGGATTAAAATTTTACTGTTCAGATAAAAAAGGTATCATGTTTAACACATCTTTAAGTGTTGATCAAGAATAATGTTTAAATTATTCAAACAATGAAAGTGTCGTACATATCACATTGCATGTTTGATGGCAAACCGTGTTCTTAAAATTGAATTCTTACTTTCAGTGTGCAGCAAATGTTGTGTTATTACATGAACCTGTTTAAAAATAACTTGCGCGGATTTATATGCGCCAGCAGTTCTATAAATAGGTCGTCTCTACGAGAATGAAGTAAAAAAAAAGAGAATTTAAGGCCAAAATGATTCTTACTACCGGATTTAAAAAAAACAAAACAATTTTTTTAAACAATGAATTAGATATCCCATACTAAACGTGTTTTCAAATTAACATTCGATTTTCAACAAATTCGTTTTTAGTTAAATTGTTTTGATTTTTTTCACACCTTTTATACTTACTTTTTTTTACTTACTTTTACTTACATGTAATATTTAATATATTTTTTTGCATTACTATTTTTTCACTAAAGGTCGTACCGTACCGGTACTTTTGTTTAGAAGTACAACTTATTGCATCTGTTTACCTTCATTAGCTGACCTGATTGTTAAAAATTAGAATTTTTTTTACTAGATAAATGAAAAGAAAAAGTCTGTCTCTGTGACCTTTACTTCGACCTTTAGATATATTTTTAACCAAGCTTACTGTTCGTTTTCTTCACATTTTATCGCTATTTTATTTGTCAACAATATTCATTTCATTCATACGTTGGTTACCAATACAATCTATCATTAAGTCAATTGCTGACAAACATTTTTCATACTAATTGTTAGGCCATTATTTACACACTGAGTTGTCGACGGATTTTTCCGTTATTTTCCCATCATGACAAGGAGCATACGGCAGGTGTGACCGGTCGGCAGGGAATGATCACTCCTCCATGGCACATGATCCCACCTTTGATGTTTTAGAGGTCCGTGTTTGCTCTGCTCCAAAATTTGTATTGTTCAATGGACTTTTGAGCTTGAATACTGTTTGTTATTACCATACATTTCTTTCGATACATGTATGTCCCTCTGAAATCAATCCAAAATACACTAGAGAGTTTGACCCGTCCATTCAATATTTTTATGCTTTACTTGAGAGAGATAGATGGAAAACTAACAACTAACGCTATAATAAACGTGTTGAATTCAACTTTTCTATTCTCGTCTTCCATCGCACACCATAATCATATACGTATGGCATTTATTTCTTCCTGATAATTCGATGCATAAGAGCATGTTTTGCGTATGATAACATTCTAACTTGGTAAGCTACCGCCAAATAAGTTGATATCAAAAGGTATCAACAATATCCTGTATTGTCAACATTTTGGAATGTAATATTATTGGAAATAAATTGGAAATAATATGTTTTATGCATTCATATGTATCTAAGCATTTTTGTGTTAAGAATTTAGCTATCTGTATATTATGTAATGTGTTAACTTAGGCTTCGTAAACTACTTGCATATTATGTAATGAATAGTCTCAGGTTTTAGGGACCTTGCGGTGTTTAGCGAATAGTTACAATGCGATCACGTGATCAGTATCAATGTTAGACGGTGCGTCGATTTACCCAAAAGGACCCAAAAGAACCCAAAAGGACCCAAAAGGAACCCAAAAGGACCCAAAAGGAACCCAAAAGGAAATTACAATTTTATCAAACACTTATGGTGAAAAACATTTTAATTCAGTGCTAGTGCTCTCAACACCCTTGCTAATAATGAAAAACTTGAATCCTCTCTAAAAATGCTGCTGATATTGTATGCATATATTAAATAAAGTGCATAATTATATTATGAACATCTCTTAAAATGAAGTTAAACGTCAATTTAAAGGTCACAAAGTCAGCCCGGTTTTTGTAAGGTGTATTCAGCGTAATCATATTCAACCTCAATATTAAAACAATGATCCAACAATTGGTATGAAACATGTCAGCCAAAATACGACCGAGGTTAATTTGCAAACAAGGTCATTATAACGACCACGGAATTTCCAACATGCTGACTTCAAACGATGTTGTTTACATTCCTATAACATCAACTCTTTTGTCAGTAGCCTGCCTCGTTTGATTAATTGATCCTTCTCAGAGAATGCACTTTTGTATCAAATCAGATTGGAGACATAACGCCATATGTATATAAAAATGTTAATCTAATCTTAGCTAAGAATAAATAGCTACAAAAATTGATATTTCTAACGTTTGTTTTTGTTAAGGTTTTGTTTGATATTAATGATTGCTTATATCTAGAACATTTTAAAGAGATAACATGTTTGTTTTAAGTTTGATTTGATCAATAACGTCAAAACATACGACTTTTCAATACTTTATACAACCATTCCTCACGATAAATTAAAATCCAGGCTTTTTGACATCGTAGACAGCTGTGCATACATAAAAATGGAACTCGTAATTACACTTAAAATGTCATTGGTCATTTACAAAATTATTTTGTTAAAAACATTCTGATTGTACACACAAGTACTCTAAAGAAAACATTAAAAAGATGCTTGAGTTTCTGATTGACAATATCTATGTAATTTTTGTAAATCAGGTCTTTCAACAATTTGTTGGAATTCCCATAGGTACCAATTGCACCCCATTTTTAGCAGATCTATTTTTGTATTCATATGAAGCAGAATTTATTCAAAATCTTCTACATGAGGAAAAGAAAACACTTGATGTGGCCTTCACCTCGACATTTAGATATATCGACGACGTATTATCAAATAACAATAGCTACTTCCATTCATATGTCTAGTCGATATATCCCAGTCATCTTGAAATAAAAGATACCACAGAGTCTGACACATCTGTTTTATATTTGGATATTTTACTAGAAAAAGACTTAAATGGTAATCTAACAAAAAGCTTTATGATGAAGTGATGTTTTTCAACAATAATTTTTCATTCTTCAACTTCCCTTACTTATGTATCAATATATTCTTATCACCTGCATATGGGTTTTTGCCTCCCAGTTGATTTGATACGCAAGAGTATGCACTGCGTATGAACAAATCCCAAAACGAGACAAGCAATTGACAAATAAGTTATTGAAACAAGGATATCAACAGTTTGTTTGAAGTCATCATTCCGCAAATTTTATGGTCGATATAATGACCTGTCAGCAAATACAACCTATGATGAAGTAAAATACAGACTGACGTTTTTCATACTAATTTTTAGGCCATTTTTACATACTGTATTGGTTTTTTCCATTTTTTCCCGATCATGGCAAGGAGCACACGGCGGGTGTGACCGGTCGGCAGGGGATGCTCACTCCTCCATGGCACCTGATCCGCCTCTGATGTGTTTGCTCTGCTCCCGATTTGGTTTTTTAAATGGACTTTGAGCTTGAATACTGTTCGTTATCTTCATATTTCATTTAGTTTGAGTGCTGATATTCGAAATTTTGCATGTTGATTGTTTGTTGAAATATCTAGATAGGGTTCAAAACAAAAGTTTATCTTTAGGCTGGTAAAGGTACATTATTTATCATCCTAATTCCTATCTTTTCCCATGTCGTATTTTAGAAGTTTACTGATACTTTTTCAAGTTTACTTAAAATTTGGAAGTGACATGCATAAACATCACTAGGTTTAATATGGTTAAGTATGAAGTGAATACAAACATTCCATGAAAAGGCCAAAATAGATTTGTTAAGCTGCCTCTTCTTTAGGTATATGTGGTATATGTTTCTTGATGAGTTCAGTGTTCGTAAAATTTTTAAGACATTTTTTGGGGTTGCTCGGGGAACATTCTACAAAATAACACATTTCAGAATGAAAATCTTGAAAAATTATTTATTTTATTCTTCTAAAAATTTCTTGCATCAAAATATCCTTTTAAATCAGTTTTAAAAAGATTTAAACCGTTTTCAAATAGATGTAAAAAAGAAATTTATTGGCAAAATTACGTTTTGGTTTTAGTCAAACTTTGTATTGTTAAAGGGAACCCTGGATATCCTATATAGCTATGTATTAATTATTGATCCCTTTTGAAGAAATTATATTTTTCCTTTAGTTATCCTTTCTGAGGCAGAAATGGATAAAAATGAAGGAAAAATCTTTGGATATTGTTTTAATTTCAATAATTCCAAAGCATTTATAGAGGTCAGTATGGAACAAGACGGATTGTTTTATGCAAACGAACTTGATATTAAGCTTGATAAAGCTTTTATGCACGAAAACCTTAAATTATGATGAATGATATTATATACCTTTATATCTGATTATTGTACATAGATAAAATAAATTTTACTTTAAGGAAAAATTAATAAACTAAGATCTGAAATACATGTCTGTGTATTACATGAAATATGAAGAATATGAACAATAATTAAGCAAACAACCAACATTATTTGGTTTTCTTACGCTGCTTTGGACAAAATATGGTTATAGAACTTATCTTTCTTGAGCGTTAAACCACAAAAAAAATAAACATAAATTAAAAAAAAACACAAGTGATGACATGAAATATAAAGATAATGAACACTTATCATGCTGAAAAGTCCCATTAAATACGACATACTGAGATACGTGAAAACCCCGAAAACAGGTGTCTCGGAGAAGTACTAGTTAGCATCCTCAGTTGATCGTTCTTATCATGTAAATTGATGCCTATACGTATTAATTTTCGAAAATATCATATATATATATATATATATATATATATATATATATATATATATATATATATATATATATATATATATATATATATATATATATATTGATGCCTATACGTATTAATTTTCGAAAATATCATATATATATATATATATATATATATATATATATATATATATATATATATATATATATATATATATATATATATATATATATATATATATATATATATATATATATATATATATATATATATAATGTTTAAAAATATCAATATATATAATAATATTTATTTTAAACTGTATGAACGACTTCCGTTTTTTCATCTTCAACTTTCCGTATTTGTGTATTGATATTCAACTATCACCTGCATATGCTGTTTATGTCTCACAACTTATTCGGTACTCAAGAGCATGCTGTGAAAGATGTTTGCTTGTTTAACTTTCCATTCACAACGATGCTCAGAAAAAATTATTTAATATGCCAGAAAATGTTTTTATTCAAACTTACATACATCAGAGAGCATTACCAATTCTTTTCTATGGATTTAACTTTATTACACAAGAATGATGATTCTATAAATTTAAAAAAGAGCTCATCCCTGTCTCTCCTCAGATAATTATTATTCTGGTCGTCAATTCTGGAATATGCTTTATGACTTTCTGTTTCTAAAAAGGTGTAAGATGAGGTAAAGCATCTGGTCTTTTCTCCACTCTTGTTCCCTGTAAAAACAATAAAATTTCTAATCAGAGAAAGAAAATGTTAGGGCATGATATTATTTTTTTTAATTGTAGTTCTGACGATTAAAATAACCTACAAAATATATGTAAAATGAGTTATAATTCATCTGTCTCTTTAAAAAATGGAAATCATTTGAAGTTAAAAGAGACGGTTAAAGATTTTCAAATCTCTTTTTGGAAAAATGCGATTAAGGAATTTAAAAAATGCACCAGAAGGAATTTTCAGAATCAGGACTGGTGAATAATGTCTACAGAATTGTTTTCGCCCTGTTGTTATTTTCGCTCTTTTATACTTGCAAACAAATTTACCCTGTTTCTGATTCACCCAGAGAAAATGCTGTCCTCTCTGAGTTCACCGATATTCAAATTCGCTCATTTGCGGAAGGGAGCAATGAAACGGACAAACTTTTCCCGTATACAGTATTATGCCTTACATTCACAATGTTCCTTCAGACAATAAGATTGTTGGGATATCTTTTGTAGGATAGACACAGTGTCATACCAGCAGGAACTTCTGTTTAGTTGCCTTAAATAGTTGGAGTTTCTAAATCATGGGTTTACGATGATAAAAATGTAAATTTAAAGGGAGATAACCTTGTAACTGACACATTACGTATGATTAATCGTCTTTGTTTCATCCATAATCTATAAATTGAGATTTTAAAATGTCGCTAATGAAATTATTATCAACAAAATTGTCATCCGCGTGGCGCAGTGGCTAGAGCATTTGTTTTAGATTCGAGGAGTAAGGATTTGATCCTAACGTCGCGGATTCGAATCCCACGGCGAGACGTGGAGACCGGTCCTACGGATGAGACTGTATAAACCGAGATCCCATGTTGCAGTAGGTATTGGCACGAAAAGGATTCCCCACTGTTTAATGGCACTGAGTGCCGAGTAAAGGTCTAAATTTGCAGCCCTCCATCGGCAAGTGGTGGCGTCTCCATATGAGTGAAATTCTCCAGATTAACAAACAAAAATCAACAAAGCAAATTTGAAAAAAAGACGAAAAAATTACCGTTTTAAAACAGATTTTGGGTGGTGTAAAGATGGAAGCATCTTTAATTCCCATTGTCGTGTTGTAGAAAATCCACATATATTGGCCATCTACGAAAAAAATGTCATGTGAATATTATTTAGTACCTGCTTAAAGAAATATTCAAAAGAGTTAACCGTGCTTTTTTACTTTTTTTTTTGAATTGTCTAAAAATCCAGACAAAGTTTAAAGCATCCTTCACTCTTTTTTCCCCAGCTTAGGAATACAAAATGTAAGATTAAAAAAAAATTCCTGTGACCAAAATGTACCTTATGACTAAAACCCATTTTAGAAATTGACAAAGGAAATAACATGCTACAAGATACACTATAGAATAACAGAATATTTACCAGGTTGGGGGATCTCAGAGGTGGCTTGAACATATTCTACTGGGGTACATTTTGGTCCTACGGTGAGGAGTCTTGTCAAACTGCCAACCATGAACATGTACGTATCCACTTTAATTGTGTTAGGTGATACACCCATAAATGATTGCCTGACTAATTTGGCTCTAGCTGAAATGTATAAGATAGGTCCATTTAAAGTTATTGAAATTTTGTTATTTTATAATAATGTCAAAATTGTTACCTTCGCTCATAATGATATATACTTCATAAGATTTCATACCAATCTTACAAGAAAACTGTCTAAAAACTTCAAGTTAAACAATGAATGTGATTTGTTATGGAAAATTATTGAAAATAGAAATTATTTCTTTAGATAATGGTGTAACATGAATCTTTTATGTACTAAAATATGGCTGTCTGACCTGGGATACAGGTTTGGTTATATGGACCCGTCGCTGAAACATAACAAACTCCTTTAGCCCATTCGTAGGACTTATTCTGAAAGAATGATATATTATATCAACTAACAGTATAAATTCTAGATAAAAGGTTATTTTTCATATTGACAAAATCTTAGAATTTTTAAATTAGTATTAAGATACTTTTTTCTCCTCATTAGAAAAAGATATGCCAAACAGGGTCAACCTTGACATGTATTCTTTTATCTTATTATCTAATTTGAATTCTATAGCTAGGTCATCAATGATATTGCAAGAATCTTTAAAACACATCAAGAAACTCACAATTTCTGAGAAACTACCGAATTATTTTCCAAATGTTTATGATTTCCTATTATTTACGAAGCGCCCGACACTTTTACGGGACTGAATCTCCCTGGGAGATCATATATACTCGAACTGACCACGAAAGGAATGATTATCAAAAATTGTCTTAATTAAAAAATAAAAGTATAAGTTTCTGATTTAAGATTTGTTGCTCTAACCGATTTCCCCCTTCTTTATATGCGTTTAATCTCTCTTTACAAACAATTTAGCTTCTAACTGGAAAAAGGTAAATCTCATGGCGATTCAATATTACACTTAATTTGGTCTATATGCAATATTTTCATTAAAATAATCTTTTAGTTTAAAACTTACAGCTGCATAATCATCTATTCGGTCGTATTCGTCTTCTTTGGATTCAGTCACGACATGTGTTGCTGTTCTCCGAGACTTCGCATCATAAGAATACATCTAAAGAGACGTACAGAACGTAAACAATATATCATTATAAACTATGGTTCACAGACCATGTGCAAATATATAAAAAAGACCTAAACCAGATAAATACATGTATACAGAAAAAAATATGTACAAACTTGTACATAACATTAAATATATTCATGTAAACTACAAAAATTATATGTAAACATTCACAATACCCTAGCCGACACTGTGAACGAAAACGTCGGATGAATACATTGTAAAATGGCTTTCCTTTGTCGTTTTCCTCAATTTCTCAACTTAAACTCTTAAACTCTGTGATTTTATACTGTATTGGCTAACCGGTGTTTAAATCTTCTACCCTGGAAACTTGAGAGAGATTCTAACAGGAGGAAAGCATTTACAAGCATAATAGTGATAGTTAATTGTGCAACAATCGTCAAAATGTTCCTGACAATTCAGATGGATAATTCCTTTTTTATGTAAAAACATATGCTTCCTTATCAATAAATGAAGCCGGGGAAATCGGATGGACATTTCTTAAAAAAAGCATTTAGAGGAGTGCGGACTTTGAACTTAACTATCTTTGGTAGGTACTATCTCAGTGTAGGATTAATTAATCCGATTTTAAGCTGAACAGCTGAACACGGAAATATTTGAACAGTTGAGAGTGAATCTCTTCGATGGCAATGAATATCGGGACTGTAAGATTCATATTCATACTTTTCTGACATAAATATATAAGAATAAAGGCAGAAAACTGAATCTACTTTAATGTTTCAGACTCGTAAGTATCAGAAATCTTAAAGGAAGTCCAAAAAAATTTAATAAGCCTATTAGTTGTTAAAACAATTTATGGATCCAGAATTTCTCTAAGCAAAGAAAATAATGCACCTTTACGGCTTCTTTCGTTTTTTGAGAATATTACCTCTCTTTACAAGATTTTGAAATGCGTTTTTTTAAACGGCAAGATTTTGTTCATTATTCTTTTAGGTAGTAACAAACGCCTCCTTTCAAAGACGAAATTGTTATTTTTATTTCATACTCTAAATTTTATGGGTTAAAAATATATATATTTTTTTAAAAATATGCAATTATTATTTGATTTTTTTTAAAGAATTGAAATATTTCTGATATTTTTATTTTAATGGCATTTCGAAAAAAAAAACTAGAAATTTAAACCTGACAGTTTTATAAATTTCTTTATGTCCCCAGGAAGTTGGTGCAGATTATCGAATATAGCATCGTGAAATTTGATCCAGGAAGGAGGATGTACATGATAGGATCTGATTATTCTTTTCTTATTATTGAATTGGTTCAGCTTGCTTCTTCAAGCGACAGTTGTTACATTTTAAATTTAAATTCAAGAAGAAAGCGTAGCTTTAACTTGATATATTTGGCCACTTAAAAGATACAGATACACAGCAATGATCCTTGCTGACACTGAATATTGATGCCTTTTTTCCCAGCGTAAAATTCTCAACAAATCAGTAATAAAACATAGAAAATCTTGAAAGCAAATAGGGTTTTAACATCATAGATCAAAAATTTAGTGTTATATTGAGTGAATAATTGTATGTTGTTTTACGTCCCATTCGCGAATTTTTCGCTCATAATAGAGACGTCACCTTGTATCAGTGAAGGGCTGATAGAGTAGGTGATGGAGTAGGTGGTCTTGATTGTCTGTAATAGTTGTATATTCAGCTGTGTGATTCTAAGTATCCGAATGGCTAACCGTAGATAAAATTTTTGTGGCATAAAAGCCATACGTGTCATGTCAATCGATTAGTCTTCCATCCATTAAAACTTTCCAAAATATTTTATTTTCTCGAAACATAGATCATTAACAGATAGCCAATATAAAGCAAAGGGAATTGAGGAACAGATATACGATATAACTTTTTATAGATTTAATGAGAGAATCTACATGTTTTTTCATTTTAATAATTTTCTACACTAATGACAAACAGAAAAATTCAACAGTAAATTGATTTTAAATGATTTTTTTCCTTCTCTAACCATAAACTCTTAATCGCTATTTCTTTATACAAAATTAACTACAGTTTGAAATTATGCCAGTAAGTTAACTGAAAGGTGACTAAATGGAACCTTCAGTAGACTGAATTACGCAGTTCCATCCGGTACACTTACCATTGTTTTAAATCTTTTATCGTTGAGACTTGATAAAGACACTAATGTGTCGAGGTAGGTCTGGAACTGGAGGGGTGGACAACACTGGGGGACAGTCCCAGGGATAAGAGAGACCGATAGTCCGGCGAACAGGAGGGAGGCAAAGGCAGCCATTTTAGAAGTGGTTTCTTATCGTGTAGTAACCGTCAAATGCTCCTGTGTCTCCAAATATCTAATCCCTAAAGCTCTCAAGTTACAGAAAAAATAATTCCGGGCTACAAACTCAGGTGTATGATTTTCCTTTTTATACACATACAAATGTTTCCTTAACGATAATAAAACCGAAGAAAGATGTAATACCAAAACAGTAGAAAGGTGTATTACCAGGGAAAAAGGTCAATTTTGATTGGATAAAAGTCCATTATTCCTACAACAGGAAAACATCTTCTTTGTTTATGTTTCCTGAAGTCTCATTTATTTTCGTAAATAAACAAATTTGAATTCATTCAATTTTCACACTACACCACACCCCCCATCCCGATGTTTTGACCATTACATTGTACAGTGTTTAAATAAGTACTAGTATTACTGCAAATTTATACTTAGTTTAACATCAGTAAATTTTTAGCTTTATAATATACTTTTCAAATACCTTTGAAAATTTTTTATCTATTTGACAAACAGAATTTCATTTCTTCATTTTACATATTTATATACTGCCTAACGTTACGGCGTCAGACAGTACTTCAGCGGTGGATCATGATATTAGAAACATGGCGTTCCAATGGCGTCTTATAAAATTTCAACATTTTTAAATTATATACATGTCACTCCTTTCAGGATGCATATTTAAATAAGGACTTATAATACGATATGGCATGTCATGTTTTTGACGCAAAAACGAACATCATTTTGTTTGTCATCAGAGTGAGGGAAAAGCGATAGATTTATCACCAAGAGTAAAACAAAGGATCGTTAAAAGTTATTAGTTTTCAAAACGGAATAAAACAGTAAGATATCGAAAGAAGCTGGAGACTTAATCGAAATACAGCGCGTGCTGTAGTAAAGACTTATCAGGAAAGGAGTTTGGTAGAGAACAAGCCCAGACCGACCTCAGTAAAATAAACTAAGAACAGACTTTAGTTAAAATATCAAATAAATATAGAAAATGAAATAATTTTAAACCCTTATAATAATTTTTTTTATACCCTTATCACCTGTACATGAGGTTTATGTATCTCAGTTGATTGGATACGCAAGAACATGCTCTACGTACGAACAGTTTCTAAAACAAGGCAAGCTATTGACAAACAATTTAATGAAACAAGAACATCAATAATCTCGGTCGATACAATGACCTTGTCAGCAAATACTATCTATCATTAAGTCAAACGCTGGCTGACGTTTTTCATACAAATTGTTCGGCTATTATTTACACAGTAAATTATATATAGATTATTCCTTTTTTCCCAATCATGACATGGAGCACACGGGCAGTGTAACCAATCCGTCAGGGGTTGCTTACTTCTCCAAGGCACCTGATCCTACTTCTGATGTTTTAGATGTCCGTGTTTGCTTTGCTCCTGATTTGTATTGTTTGAATGGACTCTTGAGCTTGAATACTGTTCGTTTTCTATCTCCATATTTCATGACAAAAAAGTTTGAAATATATGTGAAAAAACATACGCTGTTTTCAAAATAATTTGTATATTTACTTGCACCAACAGATTTTGGATTTTATAAACGCTATCATTATTTGTAGTGATAAGAGATAATCAATAACCTATTTATTTTTTTCAGAGAGAGAGAGAGAGAGATCACAGCACGTTTGTACTGTTATTTATATTTTTAAATCTTACATCCAAATGCATTCATGATGCATGAAATAACTGCCTAATTAGATTTTACATTTCTTTATTGGAAATAATTAAAAGGATATTAACATTTGTATCATTTCTGTTGAAAGTAAAATATAGAATAGGGAGTGTGAATAAGGCAACTTTGTCTTACGTGAAGGTAATCAAAATTAAGTTGGTTTGGAGAGGTGGACAGGCTTCAGGATCAGGGCAACAGATGGTCCAAGAGGCAGAAGACTGGAAAATATCATTACACTTTTCTAAGGATGATAAGCATCCATGATTGAGAATGTTTGTATTGTTTGAAATGATTGTTTTCGCAAAATGAATGATTACTTATTTTAGGTAGGATTATTTGCATTTTCAAATCCTTCTTCCTACTTACCATCAATGATATCAAAATAAGGAGATGTAATTGAACTAAAAGCTTAATAAATTACAGAGTGAATATTTATAGTAAATTAAAGTGTTGAAGATTTAAAGTATCACAATGATTCAAAAGAGCAAGGTTAATTATGAAGAATAAAGTCGAAAAACCAAGGTTCATAATGTATATATATACTCCATTGAAATAATGTTTGATAGGGAACTCTTTGTTGTTATGTTTACAGACCATTTGCATGATCTATTGCTAAATGTATGTTTAATCTTTCATATACATTGTATGAAGTGTACGCGTACAGCGTTTGCTGCGCTTGATACTTCATCCAATACATGTACTTGCTTATTATGAAGTAATAGGAGAAAATAAGAAAGATTGATTGATTGTATATTGTTTAACGTCACATTCGAAAATTTTTCACTCATATAGAAACGTCACCGTTTGCCGATGAAGGGCTTCAAATTAACTCGACACTCAGGGACATTGAGAAGTGAGGGTTCTTTATCGTGCCAATGCCTACCGTGACAAGGGACCTCGGTTTTTAAGGTTTCATCCGAAAGACCCGTGACTTTCACTTCTATAGCTAAGGCCTGGCACTTGGCAAAGGAACAGTCACTACCTATGTTTACGTCTGAGGTATTGACGCGGTGCGGCGAACGAGAATCGAACCCGGGCCTACCACTAGGCTACCGTGACCGGTAGAAAATAAGAAAGACAAAACTAAATCAATAAAGAAATAAAAACAGAAGACAAACCATTTTATTAGTAAAGAATGATTATAAAGAAATTGGAAATATGCTACGAAAATTGATTGTACTATGGTTGATCAAGTGAATATGGTTTTAGATTAACTAGATTTAAAAAAAAATTAAGGGAAAAAGGGATTTGGACCTCCAAGAAAATTAAAGATGTGATTTGGTTGGAAACGAGGTTTTCTGTCGATTTTTGTGACCTGCAAAGAAAAAGTATAATTATAGAAAATATCAACTACTTCATTTATCAGGAACTGAGGAAAACAGATTAAATATAGTTGCTTTCCTTCATTATGCATATTCACGGATCTTAACTACTCTTAACACTATATATATATATATATATATATATATATATATATATATATATATATATATATATATATATATATATATATATATATATATATATATATATATATATATATATATATATACCAATCAAAATATTTATATATTTTCATGCTTGCGAAAAATGTTTTCATGTAATCAAACAATACTAACATTTTTGAAGCACATCTTTGGTGGTATAAAGATAGACGGATCTTTGATTCCCAATGTCGTGTTGTAAAAGAGAAACAGCTGTCCATCTGTAAAGAAAAGGAAATTTAAAATGTAGTGAATTGTGAGTAAAATTAGAAAAACAGTTATTGTTTTTATATTATTGTTTTAAGTCATTTAAGGAAAGTTGTACCAGGTTGAGGAATCATGGACGAAAATCCACCAATCTCAACAAAGGTACAATTCAATCCAACTCTGTAGAAATAAGTGTATTCATTCTGCGTCGTCATGTAGGTGTCCAAGTTAATAATGTTGGGGGACACTCCCATGCCCTCTGCACCAATTTAGCTTCAGCTGAAAGTACACAAGTTTCAAATTTTTTTTATTCTCGTATCTTCAATACACAAAGAAACAATTTTTCAAGAATATACATTTAGGAAGAAACTAATGTATAGAAATTGTAGAAGGTGAAAATAAAAAATACAACAGTGATCAATCTCATTAATCCAGGACACAAAACAAAACCTGAACAGGGTAATAATATAGACCTCTGGAAACACCAGAGGTGGAATTGGGTGCCAAAAAGGAGTAATCACTCCCTGTCAATCGGTCAAACACGCCATGGGCTTTATATACTGATCAGCTAAACAATGACCTATCAAATGGTATGAAGCATGTTCAGACCAAGCATGAGCCAACGATAGTCTGTACTTACAAAAAAGGTCATGATAAAGACCGTAGAATTTGAGAAAGCTGACTTTGATTGTTGAAATTCTTGTAACATTAATTTAATTGTCAATAGCTTGACTTATTCAAAGTATGCTCTTGTATAATGTAGGGATGGAAATAAAGAAATGACATTTCTTTTATTTTCTATCGTCAACTCCCCTTATTTATGTAGCAATGTACTATCATCACATACGCATGGAGTTCATGTCTCCCAGTTGATTCCATACGCAAGAGCATGATGTATATACTAAAAATTTTAAACACAAGGCAAGTAAGTGACAAATAAGTCGATGACACAAGGGCATCATCAGTTTCGTTTAAATTCAACATTTCGCATATTCTATGATTGATACAATGGCCTTGTTAGCAAACACAATCACTCATTAAGTCAAATGTTAACTGCAGGGAGGGGGTAATCGTAATCAGTAATTGTAATCAGCTGTAATCGATTGATTTGTTGTGCAATCATGAGTAATCAGAAATTATCCATTTTTCTGATTACAAGTAATTGTAATTTAATCATTTACTCCAAAGAAAGTCCTGTAATCATGATTATTTTTTGATTACTTTATGATTACAATGATTGAAAATAGTGCATAAAATCATGGTCTTTTATGACATTCAGTGAATATTTTTCACTGTGCAAATTTGTCTATAATCAAAAGTTATCATAAAAATTAAAAATTATATGCTACATATAGCTATATCTTTTTCTATTGCCTTCAGAAATATTCATTATAAGGTCCTTTAATCAGGCAGTGATTGAATCCTCTCATACTAGCTATATTAAATGTTCATTTCAAAATACTAACCAGCTTAGCAATTCACCTTGTGTGACTAGATATATATATACTGAGGAAAATTACTACAGGGTAATCTTAAAGTTTGACTTTTTTGTTTCAGTTACCATGTATGCTATGCAAAATTTTGTTTCCCTGTAAATATCCAAATATATAAGTGATTTTTTTT